AAAATTTTGCATGGAATATGAAATCTAGCACTTTGTACGAGCCGGACTCCCTTTGGCAACTGAGTATGAACCAGAAGGGAATCGAAGCAGTCAGATGACTTGTTGGAGACATATGTAGCTGGAAGTCAAGTTCCAGTAACCCGCAAAAGCGCGATGACCTGGGCTAGCTGCCACATGCCTGGATGGTCAGCAAGCGATAATGGTGATGATGACGGGAAGAAATGAGACAATATTTTGAAGGTACATTGGCAGCAGCAGGAGTGGCTTATGAAGTTTGTTAATTGCGTGAATTGTCCCATGATGATAGGAAGAACTGGAGATGAAAATGAGAGCATTTTTCCATACATGCCTAATGAAAATGCTGCTTTTTCTAATAGAATGCAACGATGATGCAATGTTGTAAAACAGTTGCAATGACATCGTTCTCCTGACAGCAGAGACATCATATGTTAAGAAGCCAACCTTACAGTAATAATTGTCAACTCTTTCTCACATCATCATTTCTGGAAAATATTAGCTTTTTGATGGCTGACGCTAGCCATTCAAAGGTTTCATTGTCATTGTCCTCTTTTCTAGATAAGTTACAGGAAGATATAATCAAAAATAGAAGAAAAAAACACCACGAATACCAAGACCGCCGGACAATCATTTTAAATATCACGAAATTTCCGCGAAGAACCGGCAAAAATTGATAGTGTAATGCGTATAATAGCAGAGTCAAGCAGGAAAAAGCGCATTTGTGATTGGTGTACATACAAATCAGGAGAGGCGCTCCAGTTGGTATGTGGAGCACTAGAAACGGCAGTGTAGTGGATAGCACGTCAAGTTCAGATGTGGAAGAGTGTGGTTCGATTCCCTCCCAGTCCACGACAACTTTGCAAAAAGAGGCCTCTGGGGGAATGAGTGCCCAATTTGTTACTGGAATGCATCTACAAACCAGACGGAAATGTGCCAAGTCTTTCGGTCTTGGACTGTGTATTTAGTCGAAATTCAGTTCACTGAAATTTCTATGTCTTGGGCAGAATGCCGACTTGGAGCTTTGCACTTCTTGTGTCTTCCCCTAGATGAACTTTTGTTGAATATTTATCATTTCAAGTCTGCTTTGATAAAGTTGATAATGCCAGTATGCTAATCAAAATTTGTGGGAACAGCGACGCAGACTATAAAAAAGATAATCCGTATATTCTGGCCTTTTAATCCACTGTGAAATATTTTCTCTCCCGTTCCAGGAACGATGCGCCAACTGTTTTCTTCTATGAAATGTGAATGCTTCTTAGACCCTGTATTATATGGGTACTAGCTGGAGGCATGCAACCGAGAGCCTGGAACAGGTGCGCCTGGCGTGTGGAATTGACATAGTAACATCAGTAACATCGGATACCCATACATTTGCTTGGGAAGTCTTAGTATTCTTGTACCAACGCTCCTCTGCCTCGAATGTCTCGTTTCCAGTTTTAAATTGAGTAGTATGTGTCATTAAATACAGAATTTTGTCTTAGAATCGCCCAGATAGTATCCATACATTTTTTACTTTGCCATCTTATGCTTGGTGATTTTCACTTTTCAGATTTCTTTTGGATAACAAGCAGTGCTTGAAATTTTCTGTACATTTTCTAGTTTGATTCTCTTATTTCTAAATAGTTTCAGATATTTCGATACTGCAAAATCGATGTTCACAAACAGGCTGGTGGAAGGAATTCACCGGATGAATACGGTGAAGAGCACGAAAGGCAACGGGAGATGATGAGGGATGTGGCGCAGTTCGATTCGCTCGATGTTGCATTAAATTCACTGCAGATGATCAAACTCGATCTATGCTATGCAAACCCCAACTTGGTTGTCCGCAGTATTCTTCCTTTCACGGGGTACCAATTTGAGAATCTCTTATGTTTCGATCAGTTACCCTTTATAGCCTCATTCTTCAAAACTATGCTGGTGACAACTTTTCCACTTGCTTTGACCAATGCTGCATCACCTAACGGTCAGCCTACTGGCGATCCTGTACGTTCGTTTCGTCTTGTTGGGGGATTACCAATTCTGCGACCCAGAACTACCTCCTGGAGGGGGGGGGGAAGGGAAGAGAGAGAAGTAGGGCTTCTGGCGTAACGATGTCGGGGTGAGGGCGGGGTGGGGGAAGGAGATAGGAAATGACGCTTCTGGAAGGGGCCACCAAGGGTGCGGAAGAGAGTTTTCTTCGGTTTTAGCACTGCTACCTGCGCCGTTGGGGGAGGGCGAAAGGCCCATCCTCTACCCCCCCCCCC